CCCCCCCCCCCCATTTTTCCCCATGACAGAGTGCCCTCTTCCTCCGTCCCTTGACAGAAACAGCATGGTATGCAAGAGATTGCCTGCAGCTGGGTGTTTCTGAATATAAAGAGCTAGCCTTGGATCTGATCTTCGGGAGAAAAGTATTCTTTCTCATTGCCAGGGCTCTGCCTTATTCAGGTAGAGATGAACCAAACAAACTCCCCTTTTGTGTTAAACAATTTAATTAAAGCAGCACTTACTTTCTGGCTGTTTTAATAGTGCAAAACATAAAACACAAAGATAGCACTCAGCCACAGAATATAAAACAAAACTGACAGCAAACACTGTTGCAGGTTCAAGACAACACCGTAGTCAAAAGTTCCAGTCCAGTGGTCAAATGTCGAGACCACTGGATCAAGAGTCTATACCGTAGTCAAAAGTCAGTCCAAAAATTCAAGGTTCCAGGATTCCAAGGGTTCAAGAGACAGGTCAGAACATCCAAAATCCACAAACCTGGGGGAAAACCAGCAGCATCTACCACCAAAATAAGAAAAATACCTTTCTCCCAAGGCTCGTTCCTTATATCTAGAAACACGCAGCTGCAGCCTATCTCTTGCATGCCTCCACCCTTAAGTGTTTTCACCCATGAACTCTTACTGGTTACTCAACCCTTTAGAATTAAGACTTACATTAACCCTTCCATCACAAACTGGTAGGCTTACCACCACTAACCACCACCAACTGCAGAACATGATACATGACACCCACAAGGCACCTGTTACGTTGTGATGGAGGGTGGAGATGTTCTGCCTTGTGGAAAACAGACACAAAGTGGAAAGGTGGGCCCCTGGCACCTTTCCCTGCTGAGTTACCCACAGTCCCCTTGGACCGGCAGCTCAGGAAGCCAGTGGACCATTCTAGGTCATCGCCAGAAGGGATTCCTGTGTCTAAACCCAGCAGAGGAGAGCGGAGCTTGCACACAAAGGCGGATCCCCCACTCCAAAGCTTCCTTGTGGTCAGGGTCTCTGTCTCATGGCTTCCCTTTGGGTGCGCTGGCTGCTCTGTGGCTGCCACTAAAATGGCCCAACTGGAAGAAATGAGTAGTGTTCCTTCACTTATCGTGGGAGTTACATTCCAGGACCACCTGTGAAAAGTGAAAATCCGCAAAGTAGGGACGCTACATATGTATATAGTGTTCCAAGGGTGAGGCAGAAGTGAGGAGAGATTTAAGGGCACCACACACCTTTTTTGCTAGCTATCTCTGCTTTGGGTTGTTGTAGGTTTTTCAGACTATATGGCCATGTTCTAGAAGCATTCTCTCCTGACGTTTCACCTAGAATCATAGAATCCAAGAGTTGGAAGAGACCTCCTGGGCCATCATCCAGTCCAACCCCATTCTGCCAAGAAGCAGGAATATTGCATTCAAATCACCCCTGACAGATGGCCATCCAGCCTCTGTTTAAAAGCTTCCAAAGAAGGAGCCTCCACCACACTCCGGGGCAGAGAGTTCCACTGCTCAACGGCTCTCACAGTCAGGAAGTTCTTCCTCATGTTCAGATGGAATCTCCTCTCTTGTAGTTTGAAGCCATTGTTCCATGTCCTAGTCTCCAGGGAAGCAGAAAACAAGCTTGCTCCCTCCTCCCTGTGGCTTCCTCTCATATATGTATACATGGCTATCATATCTCCTCTCAGCCTTCTCTTCTTCAGGCTAAACATGCCCAGCTCCTTAAGCCGCTCCTCACAGGGCTTGTTCTCCAGACTCTTGATCATTTGAGTCACCCTCCTCTGGACACATTCCAGCTTGTCAATATCTCTCTTGAATTGTGGTGCCCAGAATTGGACACAATATTCCAGGTGTGGTCTAACCCAAGCGGAATAGAGCATGGGGAGCATGACTTCCCTAGATCTAGACACTAGGCTCCTATTGATGAGGTCTCACAACCTCTAAGGATGCTTGACATAGATGCAGGTGAAATGTCAGGAGAGAATGCTTCTAGAACATAGCCGTATAGCCCAAAAAAACCTGCAACAAGCCAGTGATTCCAGCCATGAAAGCCTTCGACAATACATTATCGCTGCTTTGCTTTGCAAAGGAGGGTAAAACCTCCTTCCAAACTGCATTGTTGCCAGGAGGCGGGATTAGAACGCCGTTTCGGGCAACGGCAACCAGTCATAAGCTGGGAAGCAAAAACCCGCAAAACAGCGAGTCCGCAAAAAGCGAACTGCGAAGTAGCGAGGGAACACTGTAGTCCGATGGCAAGTGCTGGGTGCCGCTACCTTAGTGCCGCCCTTCAGCCCAAGCATCAAGGGTACCGTGGCTGGCTGCATCAAGTAAAAGGGCTGCCCGAAAATAATGTGTTGTGATAGTGGCCACCACAATGGGTGGCAACCACAATGGGTGGCCTGAGGAAGCAGGTGAGGAAGGGCTCTCGGCCGAAAGTGGGGAAACCTAGGAGACGGGTCACTGCCTTTCTTTGGGGCTGCAATCAGGAGGGAGGGGTCCGGATCCCCTGTCTGGGGCCTTGCCCTGCAGAACAACTCTTCCTGCCTTTCTCTGTGCCACGTTTGGTGGCTTGCTTCACTGAGCTTGGGCCGCCGAGTCCTTCCTTGTCCTTGGCTGGGGACCCCGTGGCTCTGTACAGCCCTCATTTCCCTGAGAAGCAGCCCAAGTCAGAGGAAGAGGGACACCCCCTTTCCACCCTTAAGGCGCCCCCAAGGAACAAATCCCCTCTGCCACAAAGAAGGGGTTATCCTGTGGTTAGGATCCTGATTCAGAGGGGGGCACTGGACGCCAGGCCAAGGCACTGGGAGGCTCTGTTCACAAGGCTCTGTTCCTTGCCCACCAATGTGCACTTATGGGAACCCCATGGGGGACCCCAGGAAGCAGAGGAGTCTACGGGCAGCACAATGCGGGCAGTACAGCTGCCGCAACCTGCCAGAGCACCACTTCCCCTCCATTCTTCACTGGCGTGGTTTGAACTCACTCACTGCCCCCCCCAAAGCAATGTCTCTGAAATACAGCGATGTGTCCATGGTTAGGGGCCAGGCACATGCACATCCAGACAGGGGGTCCTCTGGGCGCCCCTTCCAGCACAAAAAGAAGGGTGGCAACCGGGACATTTCCGGGACGCAAAGCACCTTG